ATTAAAGTTCAGTTACTGAAAGGCTATCTCGTTGGCAGTAGACACAAATATCGCTAGCTATCATGCACTGTACGGGGCATCTTTCAGTGGACGTATAAAGTAGGGATGAGGGGAAAAACACAGAGTGGTAAGTTAGAATCCCTAATAGGCCAGAAGCCGTCTTCCTGTCTTTGTGCTCTAACGTCTTCATCCAAGTTCTTCAAGTGCAATTCAGCATTGCTTTCTGACAGAACAAATGTCAGTATTTGCTTGGAATTTCTTTGGGGAGCCTGAATTATTTGCATTTTTCTGGGAACGGTCTGCCCTTGAAAACTACTGAGTGCCCTGGCATGATGGGAATTTACTCGGCCAGTTTTTTTTGCCTATGTGTGTGGTAATTTGGGGGCTTTGTGGAATCCTCTTGGAAAGGCAGTATGAACCTCGGGTGATTGGAGAGAGGCCAGGAGTTTGTAGTTGTCCTGAGGAGCACGGAGTGAACACAGAAGAGGTTTCAGCTCTCTGCAGCTGAAGAGTTCCTTGGCCTTTATGGTAACGGCTTGCAGAGACTTGCCCAACCCCCCCGGGACCTCCCTTGGGACAGATAACCACGTTTTTCTTGGTTCCTACAAAAATTCCAAAGTTGCTGTGGTTGTTCCTGGGCTGGGAAACAGTAGACCAGACGAACTTTAAAAAGTGTTTGTTTTGGTGTCTTAAGGGGCAAAGGCTTGTACCCCCGAGGGTGTGCCTATTGCATATGTACTGAATGTGGGAGAATTCTCCCCGTTTGCTGATTCCTGATGTGGACCAACAGAGCTCAAGTCAGTGAGCGGCACAGAAAGTCTTGCAGAAAATGACTGCTTGCTATTTGTGATCACGGCCGGCTGCACAAGGCAATAGGTACTTGGCAACAGCATCGGCTAACAGGTTCCCAGCAGGAAGGGCCAGCACTGGTACTCACAGCACAGAATGCACTGAAGGACTGGCATGGCCACAGCCAGGAATGGCTGACTCCTGGGATCTGTAGCCTCACCTGTTCACTGAACCGAAACCTCAGTGAGACCCAAGTTGCGCTTGTGTTCTTCTCGTAGGTTTCCGAAAGCGGTAACAAGCGTAGCAGCAGCAGGGGGAGCAGCCTGGAAGGCAAAGTGGAGGCCCTGAGCTTGCAAGCACTGCCTCCTCGGCTCCTGAGGCCTCTGTGGAGGGAGTGGGGCAGTAGGTCTGGACATAAAGGCCTCTGTGGGTCCCCTCTTCTCATTTCCCCAATTTGTTCATGTGCTAGAAGTGGGGGAGGGGCTCTTCAGAAAATTCTGCATGCGAGTATTAAATGCAAGGCTGTCAGCTCCAGGCAGTTGCAAGGAGACAGTCCCTTGCTGGTTCTGTTGGGGTGATGGGCATGCCTCATCTTGACTGTGGTGAGTTTACTTCCCGTAAACAAACAGTTCAGAGAAGACCACAGCCATGGCTCCTGGGCATTTCTGGAAGGTACAGCCCAGGCCCCTGGTTTGGCCGGCTTTAACCTGTGCTCACTAGCTTGGTACCCTGGGGAAGCCACAGCACACTGAGCCGCAGTTATCCCCGGGATGGTTGGGAACCAGAGGCCTGGGAACCACAGGTGGCCCTTAATTGATTAGGAAAATATTGAACCCAGCCATCAAAGTCAGCAAACCACTTTTTTCCTATAGTTGGCAAAGCACTCCCAGCTGCCTCCTCCCCTCCTCTGGGCTCCTCTTTTTGCCCAGGCATGCCGAAATGCCACATATCAAAATAATATAAATTGCTCCCCTTGCTTGTGCTCAGGGCTCAGACCTTGGGAGATTATTCTCCTCTGGGCCTGCCGGTGTAAAATAAACCTCAAAACTCCAAGACGTCCCAGTGCTGCTTGGTTCTTCGTCAGTGATCCAGTCCAGGTTTTCCAGTATTTTCCGTAACATAATCACTGCTGAATGGAGCTGCAGGTGCAGCCCATGCCTCCTTTGGAGCTCACTTGCAGACCTCCCAGCACTTCTCTGCAACTCCTCTCCCCTCACCCGATGAGGATGCTGCTTCTTTCTGGCCCCCACTGCCACTGCTATTTTTAAACCCCCAGACTGGCGAGCAGATTGGGAATTTGCGCCTTGGGGAGTCCTCACTCCTATCTCATCAGCCCAGTGAGGGAACATCCACAGAACCCTGAACTTTTCATGCTTTTCCCAGATGGGAAAATCATGGCCCAGAGAGGCTTCCCTACATGCCCAGCCTTGAGAAGGGAGCTTCATTGAGAAAGTCTTCCCAGGGATGCCTCCCCAGAGCCTTTCATTGCAGGCTGAGGATAGGTCCAGAGGGCTGAGGCTCAGGGAGGTCACCTTGCCCACTGAGAGGCACAGGATCGGGGGGGGGGGGGCAAAGCAGGGATGTTGCTGAGACACCCCCATCATCTCAAGTGTTTTTGCTCCCTCTTTCATTTAATTTTGTTTTGTACCCATGGAAAACATTTACATGATCCCAAATCCACATTTATAAAGCAAGAGAAACTCAGAGAAATCAGCTTTGACTGCCCTTTTCATTGTTTCTTCCTTTAAATATTTAAAAAATTTTAAGTATCATTGATATACAATCTTATGAAGGTTTCACATAAACAACATTGTGGTTTCAACATTCACCCACAATATCACCTCCATGCAGTCACTGTCCATCAACGTAGTAAGATGCTATAGAGTCACTACTTGTCTTTGTGCTATACTGACGTCCCCAGGACCTACCTATATTGTGATTGTGAATTAGAGTGCCCCTTAACCCCCTTCTCCCTTCTTACCCACCCACCCTCCCACACCCCTCCCCTTTGGTGACCGGTAGTCCCTTCTTGGAATCTGTGAGTCTGCTGCTGTTTTGTTCCTTCAATTTTGCTTTGTTGTTATCCTCCACAAATGAGGGAAATCATTTGGTACTTGTCTTTCTCCACCTGTCTTATTTCGCTGAGCATAATACCCTCTAGCTCCATCCATGTTGTTGTAAATGGTAGGATTTGTTTTCTTCTTATGGCTGAATAATATTCCATTGTGTATATGTACCACATCTTTATCCATTCATCTATTGATGGACACTTAGGTTGCTTTTACATACACACAGGCGGAAGTCATGGCTAGCCTAAGGACCAAAGCCATCAAGGGCTTGTCTTTGTTTAAAGTATCTCCATAATTTCATCACAAAAGAAGTAGGATTTTTGGATGAATACAGTCAGCATCTGACAGAACCCAAGAACATGTCCACTATTCAGGGGAATCACACGGCACAATAACCATACATCTCAGATTTTTTCCTTAAAACTACAACTTAGAAAGCATGCAAGCTAATGGTAATGAATTCTGAAGCTGACTGACTTCCAACAGGCCCCCTCCCGTGGTTTAAGGGGAAAAAAGCATTCAGCGTTAAGGCGGCGTCATCCGTATCAATGTAACATTTTCTCCATTTTACTTTCTATCTCCCTTATCCTCCACCGTTAGCTCAAAATAAACCAGTCACGCTAAGGAATGCATGGCACAAATTTTAATATTCATACTAATTAAGTAGCTTGAGGCTCAACTAAGATGAACAGATTAAGACTACTTCGGAGTTAGACACCACAGTGAAAAATTCGGACCAGAAAGATCATGAGAGGGGGCAGTCTCTAAAACGGAGGTGACAGGTGGTGCGGGAACCAGCGCTCTAACAGGAGACACCCCCCAACAAACACTACAGTGCGGGCACGGGAATTCTCACAGCTTGTGATAACCATGCTTTAAAGCTTTTGTTTTTAATAATCCAAATTCTGCTTTATTTTTATTTATTTTTTTAAACTATGTTCTCAGTATAACTAATTATCAAAGGTATCAAAATGACATGCCCAGAAATAGAAAGCACCTTAAAGGAACATTCCAGGAACACTGGAATGTCATCCACAAGACCACAACAAAGCAGTGTGGTCCCAGCTGGGAAGTGTCCACTCAGAGACAAGAGAGGCTGTAAGTCACACCAAAACATGCCTAATTACTGGACTTTTTAACCCATGTTAAATGTTCTTAGCATTAAGTTTTTTCATTGCCCCAAATACCTCAGACAAGAACAAAAACAGCAACAAAAACCTTTGGTGACGTCTTCTACAACATGGCAAATCAACATTGAGAAGAACAAAACAGCCAGTATAATGATCTGTTGAAAAGCAGTGTAGGGATAAGGGTGGGGGGTTATGGGAGGCAGAGGAATTGTGAGGTGGAGAAAGAGGGGAGATGTATGAAGGGGAAAGGACAGTCTCCTAAGGGAGGCTTAGTCTTCGAAACTGAAGACCAGTCTGATGTATTGTTTTTGAAAAGTCAAAGTTATATCTGGAGTGTATAATTCTGTCCCCACGTATGCATCATCATCTGTCTGTATCTATCTATCTATCCAACTATCTATCTGTCTATCTATCTATCTATCTATCTATCTATCTATCTATCTATCTATCTATCTATCCATTATCTATCTATCACCTATCTATCTATCCATCTATCTATCTATCTTTTTTTTTTAGTGTATAATTATATAGTTTCTCATCTGAGTATATTTGTATCCCTGAAAACAAGGGATATACCAAAGATTCTTTAACCAAACTAAAGTCTAAAAGAGTACCTGGATATTCTAGAGGTCAGGGTGGAAAGGTGGCATGGAAAGACACTGGTAATAAACTGTTAGGATCAGCTTAGACAGAGGAAGCAAGCCGCGTGGACTGGAGGAGGTGAAGGGAGCAGGGCATATTTCAGATGCAGGAACATAACACATGACAGGTAAGAAAGAATAAGTGCATACTTGATAAGGCATTTAAAAAAATTTTTGTATCATTAATATAAAATCACATGAGCAACATTGTGGTTACTAGGTTACCCCCATTATAAAGTCTCACCCACAGACCCCATTACAGTCACTGTCAGCAAAGTAAGATCCTATAAAGTCACTACTTGTCTTCTTTGTGCTCTACTGCCTTCCCCGTGCCCCCCCCCACACCCACATTATGTGTGCTAATCGTAATGCCCCATGATAAGGCATTTTAAAATTAAATGTTGTTCAGAACTTTGGGTAGAAATGAAGAAAAAGTGACTTATAAATGGCCTTAATTTTCAGATGAGTTAAAAAACTAAATTTTAAAAAGAAGAAAACAAATTACTTTCCTAAGTATGTAATGGAGATATTATTTAGAACTAGAAGGCATCATTCATGGCAAAGTTGGGGTAGTCTCTTCTACAAAAGTAATATATTTGTATGACAAAAGTTGAGGAGGTGATGTTGATATAGGAAAGTATTTGTGATAACTGAGACAGAAAAATTCAATATCTGCCTTGACAAGGAATAGATTTTTTTTTCTACACCACTTGTATAGATGTAAAAGCAGTTTTCTGTGAAGATGCATGGTTGATAAACTCTAGCAACCAAATAGGAAAAGATCACAGGTGCCTGTGACACTTCCAGGGCTCGCCGTGCCACAGTATCAGAGACATGGGACAAATCAACCACCATGCCCAGGCGATTAATTTCCATCACCACCTTCTGTGGGGACGGATTGGGAATAGGACAGCAGCGATATACATGTATGTACCTTTATCTATAGGGAACAGGTGGGGCGTGTACCTTCATGTGGAGCAGGGTACGGAACCAAGGTTCTCACCTCACCAAAGCTGGTCAGCCCACTGACATTGTTGTAGACAGGGTGGGTGCTGTTAGCAGAGCTCTCTGCCCTACAGTATGGTCACGAGGCACTCAGACTGGTGGCCGTGACTTGACCACAAGAGCCTAGAGGCCCCACAGAACCCTCTATACCTGTAACCCCCTGCAGAAAGAGCCAGAGACCCATGCTGAGCTGTGCCTGCCAAAGGACCCTGCTGGGGAGCCCTAGTTCCCCTCCCCACTCCAGGATCAGTGCTGGACCCCAGGGGCAAAGGCGTGGTCTGGACCCCAGTGTGATCTTGGGCAGATCCCTGCATCAGTGGGTGCATACCTCTGCACTGTGCTCACCAGGGCATGTTCCAGGTGTGGGTGAGCATCAGGTGTGGGTGAGCATCAGGTAGTGCACACCCAGCACACAGAAGGCACGCAAGACGGAGAGACTACTGTCCAGTGAGTGGCCGCCTTCCACACCAATGAGGCAAGCCACCTTCCGGGTATGATTCAGAGCTGGGGGCAGGTAGGTCAGGTGATCACTTTCAGGGGCTGGGGTAGCTCAAACAAGTCCCTAACATTCCCCCATCAGTCCCCTTACCTTTCATGGAGGTCACAAGCTCCAGTTCAGAATAGGAGGCACACATGTGACAGATGAGGTCAATCTTCTCCAGGTGAGGCGCACAGCATCCCATTCCTGGGTCTTTCATGGGACGTAGGCCGACCAGAACTGGGGAAGGCCAGGGGTTGGCGTGGGCAGGGGTTTCTCTGGAGCTCCCTAGGCTTCTCATTGCTTCCATAGCCAACAGGCACCCAGGGGACCCAGAGGGCACATGTCGCACACTGCTTGCTCTGGATGCCCACTAAGCTGACTCACTGTGACCCCTGCAGCACCAGCATCCATGTTGTGGCACTTTTTAGGTCTCTGTGGTAACTGAGTTCCATGTGTCTGGGGTCACCATTTCCCCCCACATTCCCCAGCAGCCATGCCACATGTCCCTATGGTATCTGGGCATCCATGAGACCATCTCTAAGCCTATCCAGGCTGGTGTGGCCAAGGCTGAAATTGCGAAGATTTACATCCTGTAGCCTGTTGTGGTAAAACTTCCTCAGGACTGGGAGCATGATCTCCTGGAGGGAGATCAAGGGTCAGGTCAGGGGCAGGTGGGTGGGGTCCTTAGCCTTAGGATCAGGCAGGACAGGTCGCCTGGCCTGGGGTAGCAGGAGGGGAGAGGGGCAAGCAGGTCCGGGCAGGCGGGTCCACTACACGGTCACATGGGACTATGCTAAGACCTCCTGGGGCCTGGGCTGAGAAAGGTCCCCCAAGGGGGAGGGGGTGACAGGAGGAGGGGAAGAGCACCCACGGATAATGGGAGAGGACACCCAGGGGTGGTGTGAGGGAGCCTCCTCACAGCCCTGCGTGCTCAGCACCTCCTCCCCCTGCCTAGGAGTGGGCTCGGCCTCCCCCACACACAGCCTCACGCACCCGTCCACCACAGGAAGTCTCGCATCAGGGCCCGCGCGCACTCCCCTGACACGAGGGTTGGACGGGCCTGATGCTGTTGGGGCGGGGGTCGCTGACCGCGGCAGCAGCAACAGGAGCATCAGCAGCGTGCAGGGTCCCTCAAAGCCCAGGGCATGCATGCTTCACACGACCAGGTAGGCGGGTAGAGCGTGGTGAGAGCCGGGGAGGTGCGGGCCAGGGGCAGAGGAAGATGCTGTCCCGACCTCAGACTCAGGCCACCAGGAGGGATGTAGTCACGAGTCACCGTGGCCAGTGCGGCCCTTCCACCTCCCACCTGCCCTCTAGAGGGCGCGCCCTAGAGCTGGGCCGGCCCTGCTGCGGAGCCCGCTGGCCTGGCATCCTGGGCCTGGCTCCACTCTTGCCCCGCTCCCGCTCATCGGGGCCGACCCAGAGAGTGGGCCTGCGGTGCTTCTCGCAGAGAGCGGTTCTCAGCCTTCAGGCCTCTCACGACCACATCATGGGCCCATCTGCCTGCAGCCTGCCCCAGCCACCCCGAGGGCTGCGTGCAAGTGTCTGTGGCTATGGTATTGAGCTTCTAGTTTCAGTTGTTGGGCCACAGTGGGTGTGGGAGAGGAGAGTCTCTGGAAGTGTGGAATTAACATTGTGGACTCTGGATACAGGAAGGGGCCCTCTGCCCTCTTCCCTACCTCCTCTTTCCCTGCCTGCATGACCATCCCCTCGGGATTCCAAAGAGAAACTGGGAACTGTTAAGAGCTTCCCTCCCCCTCTTCTCAGCCACCCTCAGGAAAGAGCTCCCTGCTCAGGAGATATCTGCTCTTCCTCCCCAGGGCCTGAAGGGGGAGACTTTTGGGATGGGAACTGAGCAGCTATCTGGGGAGAGCCAGGGACCCTTTACTCAACAGAGCAGGGACCCAGACAGTAAGCTATTTCACTGGAAGTAAATAAAGTCATTTCTAGAGCAGCAGAGCCCTCCATCCTGACAACATTCTTCCCAGAGCTGCTGGCGGACCTGCTGGCCAGGATACCTCCTACCTTAGTGTGGAAGTCTGTCCCTGTGTGGGTCCTAAGGAAAGGCCTGGCACATGGTTTTCTGCAGCTGCACCCCCCTTATCTTGTGTCTCCTGTGGTTCTAGCTTTTACAGAAAACACAAGGGCTAAGTTCCTGTCCTTGTTGGACAGGCTCCACCCCATTTGCAAGTTGAGGCCTTCACTTGATGAGGCCAGGAGGAAGGGCAAACCAATACTCATGCTAGAAGTGGGTGTACTTATTGCTGTCCGCAGCTGCAGGGGTCTCTAGGCAGCCCTGCTGCAAACTGTTGAGTCCCCAAGGCTGTGTCCCTTCCCTGGGCAGCTCACTAAGCCAAACTCCCTCTCCACCCCCACTGCTGGCCAGCAGCCCCTGCACCCACTCTTGAAGCCGAGTGGAAAAAGGGAGAAGAAACTCTTGTATCTTTTGGTCTCCAGGACAAGAACTTTTATTTGTTCCGCTCTTGGTAGTAACCACCCCCCGGCCCCCCGCCACAACCCCCGGCAAGTGAGAGTGTAAAGAACAGGAAGAAGTCCGGACAAGTACACAGTGGCCGCTGACAGAGAAACAAGAAGGGAGAATTTAGCTTTTGAGGTTTTTTAGCTTTTCTCCAGGGGCCAGATGTCTTAACACTCCAGGACCTGGGGGAAACCCTAGCTCAGCAGAAATAGGCTGTGTTGAGCCAGAGAAGGCAGGCACTGTCTCAGTAGATGATCAGCCAGGCAGCACGATTTTCTTTAACATTCAACTTCACACCTTAAACAGGCTGGCACTGCTGGTCATGGCTTGAGGTGTTATACAAAGTTGACCACAGAAACATGGACGCACCCAGACCCGTTTTCAGGAGCATGTGAATACTCACCCAGTGGCAAGGAGGTTTGAACAACCAGGGTGGCCTGCCCTCACCCAAGATAATCTCTCTACCCTGTCCCAGGCAGGGGGAAACAGGCACCCACTAGCAAAGCCTGTCCACTAGGAGACCCCAGTATCAGTAGACAGACCTGGACAGAGGGACAACTGGGGGACAGAAGCTATAACAGAAGTTCTCCAGGTGCTTGCAGTGGGCAGAAGTGGAAACAGGGTGGAGTCGGGGAAGCCCAGGGCCTGGCTCCAAAGCTGGCCTGAATGTCATGGTGATGCTTCCTACCCTCTGCCTGCCCCTCCCCTTTCTGGGCGTCTCCAGATCCTGCGGGTCCCAGCTCCAGACCTCTCCCTGGTGTGTCTCCTCTCTGTGCCCTTCCTTTTCCCAGTACAGGTCACCTTCATCTCTCACCTCCTCCTGGTCTCCCCACCTCAGTCCATTCCCCACAGAACAGCCATATTTATCCCTTTCTGGAAAAAAAAAAACCTCAAGTTATCCTCCTGCTCAAAGTTCTTCTGTGCTTCCCTGCTCTTAGGGTACAGGTTCCCCACTGCTCAAAAGCAGAATGTTCCTGTGAAACTTCTTGTAAGCTGAAATGGTACAAAGTCTGTGTGTCCTTTCTGAAAGTTCACATTATACCACTTTGCTTTTACAAAAGTCTTACATTAGTACCTGTTTTCACTAACTGAAAGAAATCTGAGGAGTATTTTTGCTTTTATGAAAAAACTGTTTGTGTACTAATGTAGGTCTTTGCTAAGAGTTCATGTTTGATAGGAAGAACTTAAAATAGATACATGCTGATACTTATTGTGTATTTGCTGTGCAATGGGAATTGTGCTAATCACGTTAAATTATTACTATGAGGTTGGCTCTGTTATTCTTTCCTATTTTAGAAGTGAAGAAACTAAGGCTATTCAACAGTTAATCTGTGGCCTTATAACAGTAAGTGGAGCACTATGTTAAATTTAGCTCTGTCTTACCACAAAGGTAATGGTATTAACTCTGATGCTCTTCCTTCCTTCCTTCCATCCTTCCTTCCTTCCTTCCATCCATCTACAATTA